AGCTAAATGACACGCGAAAATCATCCATTTAGCCTAGCTAAGTAAATCGGAAATGTTTACTGTAACTGTCTCACTCTGTATTTCTATTCAACTGTAACTGTATGTTACTATGGCTACCAATGTTTATAGGAAGCGCATTAATATAGAACGTGATTAAACTGACCTGGAACTACCTGCGCAGTTAAATTAATTTAATCAACACCTGCCAGCCAATCAGGATCGAGTATTCAGACAGACCATGGCATAAATACTATTGTTAATATCTTGAACAGGGTTATTATTGTTAGCTAAAACTACACGGGAATAAATTACTAAATAAATAAATAAATAAAACTTTACTTGAAATAAAAGTAACATTAACTGAAATAATATAATAAAATAAATTAAAAGTTTAATAAAATAATAAAAAATAATAAAATGTAGTTAATAAAAAAAAGTTATTTCAGCTAGTTGACAAGGCAACATTTAGTTTAGTTTAACTTGAAGTACTAAAATAACAAAGTAAATCACTGAAAATAAAAACTAAAAAGTTAAGAAAAACTATAGACATTTAAAAAACATACAAAAAGACAACACAATGTTAATATAAACTTTAACTTATATGAAAATTAATTAAAATATTGAAGCAAAATATTGTTCAAAATATTAACAAAAAATAATCATCAATACTACAATAGCAATGATTTTGTATTAGCTTTTTTTTCAGTGTTTATTTTACCTTTAGTTCAAGTTTTAGTAGTTTTGTTATTATTATTATTATTATTATTATTATTATTATTATTATTTAGTTGCCAAAACATTTCCAATATTTCTATTTTATTTTATTTTAGTGAATTTGTATATATTTTTTGTTACTTTACAGTATACCATTATACAACACTACACTACAAGTGACATGATGTGAAGCAACATAATAGCTTTGAATCAATCGAAAGACTGCATTTTAAGCTATTATTTGCCAATAATCTCACAAATTATTCACGGTTGTGCTAAAATAAAATGACACCAACGAATTTGAACTACTGCCATAAGGAAACGCAGTTTTTGAAACATTAGAGTGTGTAAAACAGATAACAGAGCTTTTATTTATGGATGAATTACTCCTTTAATGCGACAACAACAGGATGCTTCCTTGTCATGGAGAGTGTAAGACCTCAAGGCCTTTTCTCCACAGAGGATCCATCTCTCTTTTTGCACCATACATGCCCCCTTCATCCACAGGGCTCTTTATATCATTACTTTATGTCCGCCACAAAATATAACACCACAGGGCCTTTCATTTATTAATCTGGCACTCGGATGAAGCCCATGGCAGTGCTGGATGGAGAAGCGTGCCAGCTGGGTCAGTCTGTGTCCAGGCCTCACAATCCAGGGTTCACAATCTCCAGTGAGCAAAACGAATCGGCTCGGAAGCCTTTGGACACCGTTGTGCTCGGTTCGGTCTCCACGCGCACCAGGCGCCATCTCTATCAAACGTGACACAGTTTCGAAGACACCAGGGAGATGATTTTCTATTATTAGAGCAACGTTCCTTCCATCCATTCAACTCTGAACAGGAATACACTGCAAGCAGCAACTGAACTTCGCTTGTGCGATCAAGTAAAAATAGAGTGTTTCTTCAACTTTAGGCCTGTGGAATGAACGCACACTTTCACAGTTTGTTTATTTTGATCTAAAAATGTCAAATATACATGAATTGAATTTTGTAATTTACTCAGTATTTCTTCAAAAAAGTGTCACATTTGCAGTTGTTCTGCAAAATTTTGCATGCAGAATTTAGTTTCAATAGGAATCAACATGGAGTTTTGAACGCAGGCAAAAGATTTCCTCAACAGGTTGGTCACGCAGATTTGAAGTTACGATTAATTGAAAGTTAGGTTTGAAAGTTATTTCTGTGTAAATGATGAATCTACACTATTGATAATAGAAAACGGACCTTTTTGCTTGTGAAATTTCACCAAAATGTTGCTAATGTGACCACACCTGAATGAGATGTTTAACATTTTTTAAATAAAACGTCTCACTCCTTTGTCATGCTGTGGCTAATTATAGAGCTAGCATTTTATGCAACATAAATGTACACAATTAAATAATATATTGATTTGTTTTCAATAATTTGCTAAAATGTCACTGCATTTGAAGGAGAGTTGTAATATTGACATATACGGTAATGTGATTTAACCAACATGCAGAAAAAAATATTATTTTATATAAGAATAATAAGAATCATTATTATTATTATTAATAATTAAATAATGATTGTGTATTTTTATTGATTTATATAATAAATAATATATATATATTTTTTTTTTTTAAAGATATAAAGTCTGGGTCTGATAGGTAAAACTAAAAAAATCTAAAATAAAATCTATTTGTAATAATAAATGGTGAATGCATTATTAAAATAACAACAACAAAAAAAAACAATCAACAACATTATTAGAGTATTAAAAGTTTATGGTCTGAAATATGCATTTTTGTTGTTGTTTTAAAGAAATCAGTACTTTTGAAAATCAAGGATGCATTAAATTGGTCAAAAGTGAAAAGTAAAGACATTGTTTACCAAAAAATTGTAATGTCTAAAAAGTAAATCAAATAAAAAAGTTCAAATAATTACTGTTCTTTTAAACTTTCTAGTTATGGTGGGGTTAATCATTAATGATAATTGATAATAATAAATGTTTCTTGAGCAGCAAATCAGTATATTAGAATGATTTCTGAAGGATCATGTGACACTGAAGACTGGAGTAATGATGCTGAAAATTCGCCTATATCATCACCGTAATAAATTACATTTTAAAATACATTCAAACAGAAAACACTTATTTTAAATTGTAAAAATATTTCACAATTTTTAATGTATTTCTGAACACATATATGCAGCCCTGGTGAGCAGAAGAGACTTCTTATGTGATCTCACTGACTCCAAACCCGTAAATATTATTGGTGTATCGTGCCATGTCCCAAGCGATGTACTCGATACCGTGCTCCGGCGGGAGGAACTGGTTTAGGTTGATGATGGCGGGGTAAAACTCCTTACTTAGGATCTTCTCATGCTTCCACTTCTCTCGTTTCTGACGAAATCAAAACCACCAAACTAACAATCATCACACTGATTCCAACAACTTAACCTCAACTTCTAACCAAAGATGCTCTCCAGCCCTGAAACCTTTAGTAAATCTGCGGCAAACAAAAACACAGCAAATCTTTGGGAACAACGGACAATTAGCAAAAACTGAGTAAAAAAACAGTGTACAAAATTTTTTTTTTCTAAGTTGTAAATAAAACAGAGATCATTAGATTATGTTTCACAAGAAAATACTATTTCAGTCTTACTACTTCAAAATTTCACATTTAATTCAATGTGACGATTCTTTGTAATTACTAGCAATTTCTGAATGAAAATTGTTTCAAAGTAAACCTTGCATCAATTTGTGTGTGTGTGTGAGTGTGTGTGTGTG